GTCATTAGCACCTCTAGTAATATATTTACTGAGAAAAATGGTGACGTGTTCAATAATTATTTTACCCGCTGTATTTTTTTCTTCCTCCTAATTTACAGTAACACCTTCCCCTGCCAGAGAGAATCCTGCAGTTCCAGATTTGTCAGATGAGATTCGATCTTCGCTGTCATCTTACTACAAAGAAAGGTAGGCTTTCTTCCACTCAGGCCAGTTCTGCCACTTTTAGCCTTCATAAGCTCATAATTATTAATTTTCCTGTAGAATATTAAATACTCAATCCTCCTAAAGCTCATCATGATGAGGATAATCGCTTGTGCTGACAGTTTAACACAGTTTACTCTGCAAGTAGTAAATAACAGTAAATGGAAAATGCTGCTGCTTCAAACATCACCTACCTGTGTCATCAATTAATGCAGAGTGAAAGCATATTTCTGCCCCACATTACTCTGAAAACCATTCTGATTTAGCATTTTTTTATTTATCCATCTGCAAACGAAATCTGCCAACAATGACTGAGAGCATTCTTATCTTTCACGTATCAGATCCTGTAAAAAAAATGCTTCCACTGCCTGTTATCTTGAACCGTACTTGGCATGAAACCAAACAATGACCTAAACTGGGGAGGATGGGAAATTTTCTTATTGTGTACCTGCTGAACTAAGATCTGTGAATCTAACAATAATCTAGAGATGGAATGCAGCACCTTGTGAACATGTTCTTTCATTTTCTGCAGAGACTTTGTTCAGGGTGAAGCCTCTAAAACTGATAGGTAAAAAAATAGGTTTCCACTATGTCAGCTTTACTGTCAATCCTGCTAAAGGAGCAAAACTTTCAGAAGATTTGAACTTTGTTGACTTAAAACAACAAAGTCTCAAATATACATTTATTTACAATGATTTTCAGCACAATATTTCCTACTGATCAGAGATTGACTGATACAGGTTTTTGAAGGCCGATACCGATTATTTTGACATCAGTCTAACCGATACACCGATACGTGCAGCTGATTTATTTTTGGCCAATTCTTGAAGCCGATACTGCCTTTTCTTTCTCCATTAACATGATAAAAATAAGAATGATAACAAATATTACACAGGTCTCAATTTAAAACAAAACAAACAAAAACATTTATTATCTGAGCCTTGCAGGCTGTATGAAGTGCTGCCACACAGGATTTCTTCTTTCAGCCCTTTCTTGAATAAATTACAAAAATAAATAAATTCATGATTTATTTTATCTAGTGCTAGTTTTATTCTGTTTTTATTTGTATATTACTGGTAATCAAATTAATATATTTTTTACATAAAATAAAATGACTATGTTTTAATATCCCAGCATTTTTGATGCAAAAAACAGCAACATGCCTGAAGAGGAACACAGAGGAA